CTCCACAAGCACCATCAGCTAGAGTACTATATACTAGAGGAAAAGTCTGGACAAAACAAAATAGAAAGTTTTGCTGCAGAAATAAGACTTGATGTTTTAGTTGGAACTCCAAATATGATGCTCAGGCATATCTGTGCCAAGTACAGAACAAAGTAGAGGGAAATAGCAAAAAGCAGGTTACCCACAGAACTGGAAAGGAATGAAAATGCTATGGACAGAATAGAAACTGAATCCATGAGAGATAACTTTATAAAAAATTAACCTATGGAAAGAAAAAAAAATGACATCCACATATTACAGAAAAGTCTTCTAAACCCAAACAGTATTTGTTCAGTTCTTTTGTCTGTCAGCGTGATACAGATAGGAACATGTGAGAAATTTGCTCTATTCAGTCTTTATTTTTTTAATGAATTTACCTAGGTCCCATCTGAAATTTGTGGTCAGAAATCTGGACAATTCCAAGGCTGTAATGTGCTTTATAACAAAAGTTTTATTTAGCAAGTTGAACAAAATGTTCAACAAAATGCACATATTGTATTCAATCAAGAAATGTCTTCAACATGCACACATTTGAAAAATATGTTAAGAAAAATGTGTGTGTGTGTATATATATGCTTCCAAAATGTTCATGAACATGCTTTAGTCAATGAGTGCATACATCCAAAACTACACACTGCTGGAAAATATGTTAACTTCCATGCTGATTTTTTTTTTCATATTGTGAGCTTGTGTAGAACAGGATAGAATGACCTTGACCCCCCACACCCAAATGACAATCTAAGAAGGGCCATAACTAATCCTTCTGTCCTTGCCACAAATGACTAAAAAGAAATAAGCAAACAGAACAGCTAAAGCACACTCTACACATCTTTAAGACAGAAAAAAGGCCTACCAGACCCAGATGAAACTTGTAGGCCTTTTTTCTCTTAAAGATGAATAGGATTGCATCCTTTCTGGACTTATTTGCAAAGCAGCTATACACATTAGTACATGTGCACTCTTTTTTTAAAAAATGGCTGCTTTTTCCTTGTAGTATTTCCAAGTCAACTTCCATGCTTTCTATGGAGTGCCATGCCAGTACCGTAGTTTTGCAATACTGCTTATCAGTATTAACCACACAGGATGGAGTCTATCATTGTGAAAGAATCAGTAGCATATTAAGGCAGGATTTGCTTCTGAGTAAATTATTCATTATATTTACATCCCTAAGTCAGTGCGGTATGCACAGCTCCCCCACCCCGTCATCCTTTTATCTTCAGCACAACCCTGTGAGGTAGGCTAAGCTGAGGGATAGTGATTAACTCATGTTTGCCCACTGAACTTTCTGGCAAAGTGAGGATATGAACCTGGATTTCCTCTGTCTTCCCAGTGCACGCTCTTATCCAGTTCTGGCCAGGCTGGTGCTCTTCAGTTGTGCTGGACTCTTCTGATTTCCAAGCAGCTTACAACTGCAGCTGCAACTCAGCCTAGATGGACAGCATCAGCTTGGGGGAACAGTGCTCACACCACTGCACCACACTGCCTCACATACTTCAGATTGGATTATATGGCTCCAACCCTAGACATGTTTACTTGAGAGTAAGGTTGTTTGAACAGGTGGAATTTAATTTCTCAGTAAACATGTGTAAGATTGCAAACTTGAAGAGATTTATACAATTTAGGGAAAAGGAATTTTGCAAATAGGAAACATACTACTTTAGGAAGTTTTGAAACAAACATTACAGCTGAATAAAGATAAAATAAATGGCAAAAGATTGTGCTTAGAATAAAAAGTCCTAAGCATTTTTTTAATGGGGGATTGCGTTTAAATGTATAGATTCTCAAGGATGTTAAAAGAGAGCCAGGTTGGAGGTAAAATACATCTGAAACAATGGGCATTTCTTAAATTGTTGCATGCAAATGCCAAAATCATTTTGCCCCTGAAGCACCAGCAAAATTGGGGACCTAGATTTTTCTTTGTGTTCAGCATATTAGGAAGTTTGTGGCAGATGCACACAAAATTATCAGTAAGAATGGCGGTATTACTATCAGAAATCCCTTGGATGCAGTGTTTTGATTGGCTTCTGGCCATTTTCCTTTTAAGTGTAAAACAAAATCAGTAGTTGCATAGGAGGTTAAGAAAAGTGAGCTCCTTTTGCCCTCCACAAAGCAGTGATGGGCCCCAGCCTTATCCTGTAATTTGAGTAACACATGCACCCATGTGAAAGGTCATGTTTGTTTTTGGAACAAGTCACATCAAGGTCTTGTGCAAATGGAGAGTTCTCTCTCTCTCTCTCTCTCTCTCTCTCTCTCTCTCTCTCTCACACACACACACACACTTTCTTCTAAGCCCTCTTTGACATGAAAACATTATAAATGCAAAATCAACCACATTCACATTATGAAATTTGCTCACTTAAGTATTCTACACGCATTTACCAGATTTGGCATACATCATAATTGCAACTCCATGTACACCTCTGCAAGGGAGTAAGGATTTGGGGATGGCTTGATGGCATCATCCTTCCATCCCTTTGTTATTCTTACCTCAAAAATAAACCAACCATTGAAATGTTTTAAATACATAATAGAATAAAGCTATTCTATAATGAACAATAGAATAAAGCTATTCTCCCAAGATAAAATATGGTTTAGTCACCACTGCATGTGATCCGGGAAATAAACCATGGCCATTCTTTAAAAATCATTTCCTACGTAATTCTAGTGAAGGACATTTGGCAAAAGGGTGCAAAGGCAAATTGAATCCACATCTCTAGGGGGGACTAATTAAACTGAGAACTGGTAGATCACTGGATGATTTGAAGGGAGGGTTTCTGGCTCCCAGTAATACCAACGGCAAAGAGGCTGTAATTTTCCTGCATGCATGCTTGCTTGATCTTAATGGGCCAATTCCCTCTCGCTGAGCCTTGGCATTCCTCAGCTGTAAAATGGGACCGAATATTTAGGATCCCTGACACAACTTATTGCTTCTAACATTGTAAGTGAAACCCTACGTGGACCATTATGATGAATTGCCTTCCACTGATCATTTATCTCCAAAGTTCCTCATCTGAAAAAGACAAGTATTCACTGACTGATGCTTTGACCAGATCTTTCAGCAGGCTTGCTGGCCAGTTAAGAAGATCTCCGGATTAGGGAGCAAATAGACTTCAATTATACCACTGACTTGCCTCATGCAAGCAATTTTCTGTGGGTCCAGCCATTGCCATCTTTCTACTATTAACTATTTTTTCTTATTACTACTTCTGGCTTTTTACTTACAAGAAAAATTCTATTAAGGAAAGACAGAACAGCTGCACCATGTTTTCTGCATGTTAGTGCTAGATTTCTCCAGTCTGAAGCACCCCCAAGAATCCCTGATTTATAGCAACTCAAATGCTGAGTGGGGCTTTCCAGTGTATGTGATTCATGAGGTATAGTAGATACTTGGCTTTAACCCATCAACCCACCCGGGGATTTCTTTGATTCTACAGAACAAAATAGATCCCACATGATAAAAGCTTACTTGTGCCTGACCTGAGCAGCCCCAAATAATCGGTATCTTGGCCCAGAACAGGACAAGCAGTGGCACAATTAGGGCTCAACTGTAGGGCCGAAGTCTAGGGGCCCACGGCCAAGATGGCTCCCCAAGGGCTACCTAGAAAACTTCAGGTGGAGAGAGCAGCAGAAGCAAACTCCATTTTATGTTTGTGGGCATGAGGGTGCTGTGATTTCAATGAGTTTAAAATGCCAAAGAAGTTTGTGCGTGTGTGTTCAGGGTAAGCAAGCTGTTTTTGTTGTCATTGTTCTGGCATATCAAGAAAGCGTGAAATGGGGGAGGACAAATGGAGGCTAAGTTGTGTCCTTCTAACACACATGGCTGTCTAAAGAGGGTGGCTGGAACACTAGTAAATCCGGAATCTAAAATTGAGTTGCACCCCTGTGCAGAAGGTGTCTGAATATTCCACTCTTACAGAATAAATTGGCTCCATTTGGGCCTGTGTAGCTCCAGATGTTCACTGGTTTATTTTTAAGATATTTGATCTGGCAAGGTTCTCGATGGGGGAGGGGGAGATGACGAGATGAGCCTTTCCCTTGTTGATACATCTGAATCATTATATAAGGGATCCTGCTCATGTTTACTCAAAAGTAAGTCCCATTCGTTTGATGGATTTAGTCATAGAGAGGACATTGAAAAAGTTTGCTGACTCTTGGGGGTGGGGGGGAGAGGAAATAAAGACTTCCTTCCCGAGGGTGGGGGGTGGGAAAATGGAAAAAGATAAGCGCGCACACACCCCTCCTTAGAAGTACAATTAAGGTTCAGCGACAAATCCGTACACACCCTCCATTGAAACTCACTATCAAAACGACACCCATTCACACAACGCCGCCAGCAAACTGTTGCATACTCTTAACAAGCTAATGAACTCTTGGCTTAAAGACAAAAAGTTATCCGCTTCTGTACTTTTTCCTAGACAAAGAGAAACTCACGAGCACACAAGCCATTTAAAAAAGGTGTGGTTCCCCCTCCCCCCCCAAACGCCACTCTTTGTTTCAAGATTTTGCATACAAAAAGTTCTCTTAAAAGTAAGAAGGAACTTTTTTCTAGTCGCACAAAAAACTCCTTTAAGAGCGGAGTGAAATTTATGCACACACACACGACAGAAAATTTTAAGTACCTTTTGAAAACACATAAATACACGGATAAACTGAGAATTTGTTAAAAAGAGTGTGCGTGTGACAATCTAATCTATCCACGTACCCTCAAACTTTCAACCCCTTTGAATGAAAAACGAAGATATAGCAGACTTTTCCCATAAAGAAAAGTTGAAAGTTTCCTTCCCCCGCGCTACAAATAAAAATCCAAATTTAATCACAGCTTTCCCCTTCCTGCCTCCCCTTCGTAGATGCACATTTTAATCAAGATCTTCCCTGATATTACTGATTCAGTTGTGATTAGTCACCAATTAAATAGAAAAAAATGAACGATAGAAGATGGGGGAAATATATATTTTACTTACTTTCAGAAGATACCCCAGAGGCTTGTTTCGTACGTGCTAGTGCAAGAGAAAAGGGAGAGAGGAAAGGAGAAACTTTCCCTGAACTCTGCTTTAAAAAAAAAAGTGGCGGAGGGGAACAAGAAAAAAGAGAGAAGAAAAAAATCACCACCAGGGTTAATTTTGGCTCATCCAAGAAGTTCCAGCCCACTCGTTGGGATTAGAAATGGGAAGACCCGGGACGGGTGCGCAAAGAAGCAACAGGCCTGAGTGGTATTTTGGAAAGGTGACAGTTTTCCTCTGGAATCCTTGGAATGAAGCAGAGGAATTAAATTAGTAGCAGTGAGTCAGTTTCACATGGGGGAGGAAGAGGAGGAGCTAAGGGGTGGGGGGGCGGCTTAGGCCACATAGGCCACACCTCCCCAGCTGGAAAATGTTGCCCAGGAAAAGGCGGAAGGATGTCATACAATAATACCTTTACTCGGGCTAGCTAAAAGGTTACAGACGAGTCATTGCTGCATAATAAATTTCTCCCGTTCCTTTTCCCAAGATACGGGAAAGGCGATTAGCTTAGAAAGGCTTCAATAGGATCTAGCAAAATCGTGGAAGTTAGGTAGGTCTAATGAGCTGGGTCCTGGATCCAGTCAACGGTAGAAACAAAAATGGCAAAGTTGAGGCTGTCATAGTGTGTTGGGCTCATCAAGAGAAGGCAAAACTCTTTGGAGAAGACATTCATGCTAGAGAAAGGCAAATATGAGATGGATGGACTTCATAAGAGGAACAGCAGCCTTGAATATAGAAGAGCTAAGCAGGGATGTCATGGACTGGACATTTTGGAGGGCCTCTATTCATAGGGTCTCCATAAGTTGGAGATGACTTGATGGCACATCGCACCAAGGTAGGCCTGGCTGAGGCTATTGGGCACTACGGATGCCTGGCTTCTTCACCAAATTCCAGCGGAACAGTAGAGAGCAAAGTGGAGTGGTTTCCCCCCGTTATAATCACTCTTTCCTTTCCGTCGGAAAAGCAAAATATTCCAGGCATGCAGAGTTCTTTTTAAAACTTTATTGCAATGAAGGGAACAGAAAGAATGGTTTCCTTCCCATTTTTCTGTTCACCTGAGCACATGTTCACACACCCCCTTTTGAACCCTGCTCCCGGCTGCTTGTTCCCTCCTCCTTTCCCCTAATTGGCTAATAGGGTACTGAGAGTTACACTCTTTCCGCCCGCCTACTCCGCGGTGCCCCAACACCGGCCCTTCTTCCCAATCCAGCCCTGCCCCTGGTGGGCTACAATAGGCTCTTTTTGTTCTGCCCAGCTTGTCAATAAACAATCAGGAAGTATTTGGCCCTCCTGCCTACGTGCCTGTTTCCCATACCTTGTGCTATCTGATTTTAGCCCCTCCCCTGCTTTGGGCTAAGTAATTTTCTTTGTTACCCTTTTAAATCTCTTTTATTCCCTTGTTTCAAATCATCCTTTCCCACCTATCACCCCAAGCCCTGTTTGCGGGGGTCACCACCCAGGAAACCTGGATGTAGTAGCATCTTCCAACCCTGCAGATACATTGGATGACAACTTCCATGGCTAGCGATAATGGAAGTTATAGTTCAATACATTGGAGAGTGCTGGGCTGGGGAGCTTTGCAATGTAATTGCTGCCTTGTAGAATCAAGACGCGGACTGGGCTGCACTACATTGACAAGGCTCCCTGGGGTTTTGGATCAGAAGTTTTCTCAAGCTTACGTGGAGATGCTGGGGAATGAACTTGGGACCTTACAGTGATGTAGCAAACTGTGTGCTCTACCAATGAGATGCAGTAGTCCTTCCCCTGAACTGGATGGACTTTTGATCTGGTTGAACAAGAGCATTCTTAGATGTCTGCCTTCCCAGGCTACTTCAGGTGAATATTCAGCTAGAATGAGGGATGGGGGTGGGAGAAAAAACGTGTTTCTGAATCTTTTAAAAAAGAAAAGAACACCAAGTTTGCACATTGGAAGAGGAAATGGAGGGAATAGTGTAGCTCAGTGGGATTTACTTCCAAGTAAGTCTGTCTGGAATTGCAACATTAGGTTGAAGCTCCCTGCCTGGTCTGATGCCCTCCAGATGTGTTTGACTGCAACTCCCATCATTCCCAGCCAGCACTAGCTGGAATGATGGGAGCTACGTTCCACAAAGCTGGAAGGCAGGAGGTTGGGGAAGACTGATACAAAGCAGGTTCAGGATTGTGCACTTTTTGGAGAAATATACAATGGGTGTTCTCTCTTTGAAATGAGAGAAGCAAACTTAAAAAAAAATTCTGTCAGAATACATGGGGACACTTGTAAGGCAGGCAGCAGAACCAAGCTAGTGCTAAGCACATTTATTTAAGAATAATTTCCACTGAAATGTGGTGGGACTTGCATCTGAATATTTTTTTAAGTAACCACCCTTCCAATATATGGATACAGAACCTACATAATCTAATCATGCAGAAATAACAAAATCAAAACAAGTTTTAAAACAATAAACAGAATAGAGCAGCAAACTGATCAGCCTGGGGAAATATGGATGTTCCAGCCTAGTGCAGAGAACATTGTAGTATTGATGCAAATACAACCTCTATAGGAAGAGCATTTTGCAGATGGGGCGCCATCACAGATAAACATTTTTCTCTTTGTGAAGGCACCTCTCCCGCTGAATATACCTCTCTGTACCATAACAGTCACTGGAGAGGTGTGTGTGGGCTTGGGTGTACTCTGGGGATGGTGGAGGACAGGATAACCTGGAGGAATGTTGTTTATGGAGTTGCAAAGAGTCGGGCATGACTTTGCAACTGAATGACAACAACCATAATATAACTTTCCTAGCAAGGTTTTTATTTCAATTTGTTTATTGTATTTTGCCTTTCAAGGAACTCAATGCGGCTTACATACTCCACATCAACCCCTCAGTCTTATTCCTACAACAACTCTGTGAGGTAGGGTGGGCTGAGAGTCAGTGACTGGCCCAAAATCATCCAGTGAGCTTTGTGGCCAAGTAGGGACTAGAACCCAGATCTTCCAAGTCCCAGTCCAGCTCTCTAACCACTACACTACATTGGCACTCTGACTTACTAGGAGAAGAGGCTTAAGGCATGGCTGATTGGTTGGTATAGGGGAGAGGTTCTCAAGGCTGTGCTGAGAAGCCCCCCAAATCCTGGAACTTGCACTAGAAGAGTTTCTTTTGGGGTATGCTATAGGATCTACAGTGGATCTCTCAACCCTGTGCCTACTGACAGGAGTAAATACCATTGAACTAAGTGAGATTTACAACCAAGTAAACATGAACAAGATACTAGCAAAGCCAAATCTGACCAGGATATTTTGTTGACCTTTCTAAATTTATCTCTAACTTATTATGACTCATTTACTTTTGTGTAAGGCTTATATTCAGTACCATTTGGGGATTCTTGGAGAGTTCTGAATGGCATTGTATTATTGTACCGCTGTCTTGAGATCTCAGTAAAGGACGAGGTAGAAATGCTTTAAATAAATAAAAAATAAATGTTGATAACTGAAAGGAATAGTACAGCTTTCCCCAAGATGGTGCCAGCAGAGACATTGGACTACAATGCCCATCAATCCCAGCCAGGCTGAAACAGTAAATAAAGTATTAATGTCTTTATTATGCAGACATGGCCAGCAATGTGCTTTAGAAAGGTTGTTAACGAAAATAATTAAATAATGCTTTGTGAGGGTCTCCATCCTTAGGGGAGACTTCCCACTGTCTCTCTGAATGATCCACTGAGAAAGGTGCCAACTGATAAACTCTTGTCCTTTGAATGGCCACTTGACTTGCAGAAATCTGCAAGGGAGCCGAAATGTCTGCTGACAAAGCTGCTGTTCAAGGTGGAGGAGGAAGAGCAGCTTGTCAAATTATAGAAAATGCTCTGGCTGGTTCTCTTTATAATTAATCTGTGCTCTGGGTAAGTAATATGATACTCAAGTGTGATTGGATCACTCAGTAATTCCCAATTCTACAGCAGAATTACTTGCCCTAGGGGGAGGTTTCCTGTTGCATCTATGTATGAGTTTCCTTGGCAAAATATTTTCTATCAAAATACATTCCCCTTTTTTCAGCTGGCTGCCTCCTAGGTATTTTGGAGCCAGTATAGTGTGGATGTTGGAATGCTGGACTTGGGTTCTCATCCCAATTCAGCCATGAAGCTTACTGGGTAACTTTGGGTCAGTTAGTGCCTCTGAAATTTGCCTACCTCACAGGGACTGTTGTGCGCTTAACAATGGAGTGATGAGAACTGTATAAACCCCCTTTGGTTCCTCACAAGAGGAAAAAAGTGGGATATAGATTCAATATAACAACTCCCATCATTCCTGAATACCAGCCATTTTGGCTGGGCTGTATAGCAGTTGAGATTCCAAAAAATCGGGAGAGCCTAAGACAGGAGAGTGCTGATTACCCAGTTGTTGAAATATTTTAATGAAATAAAATACTATGAAAATATTTCTTTTGAAAAAAAAATCAAGGTTGTGGTAGGTCCTAGGACATGATAATAGGTTATAATGGGGAGGGGATTTTGTTTGAACCATCAAACCTGGTAAAAGGCATTTCTCCTTTGATCAGTATCTCTCAGAGAGAAATCCTATGGGCTGTATATATATATATAGAGAGAGAGAGAGACCGAGTAAGCGCAGGCCTACTTCTCTCGGAGGCCCAGGCCTACTTCAGAAGGAGCCAGAGAGCCAACCCCTTTCCCCTCCCACTCACTGGGGGCGCAGAAAGAACCAAGCCCACTGCCCTCCGACCTTGGGGAAGGCCAGAAGTGGGTGGGGAGAACAGGGGACAAGCTATCCTGCATCTCTGCTAGCCGCCTTCCTTCCTCCTCTGAAATGCCTTTGCTAGAGAAAAGGCAGCGTGGAAGGCTGGACGGTCGAAGACTGCTTCCTCCGCTTCTCCCTGCAAAAGTCTCCAAGTCGGAGGGCTTATCAAGGGGGCAATCGATAGGACTGCATCCTTATTTTGCTAAATTCAGCCACCCAGTTCTTTAAATTAACCATTCCTTCATAGGTTATATGATACCAGCAAATGCCCAGTTCTTGCTAGGACAATCTTAGCTGCCAATCGTGTCCAGACACGAAAGAGAATAAGGGTGTAAATGGGCTCACAGAAAAAGTGAATCAGATGCCTGCCTTATTTTATAATTTTAAACATAAAAATGGTGTGTGTTTTAAACCTGATACTTGGTTCATCTGATGCACTGTTTTAATCGATCAAAGCAGGGTTGGCGTTGATTAAAGGGCTGAGTCGTTCATGACACACTA